TTTTAAAAAAAAAAAATTAAAAAAGGAATCACTGCCTTGGCAGCGATTTCCAAAGTAATTTTTTTTATTGTTTTTTAATAAGTCGCTGCTTTTAGGCTTAATTTTTTTTTAATTTGCTATTTTTTTAAAAAAAAAATTTAGAAAGTACTAACTAAATTTAAAGACTTGTGACTTGATCTTTATAATATTACGGATGTAATCGTGACATTTCATCGATTTGTAATTGTACCCATAATCTCTTTAAATTTAGTTAGTACTTTTTTTTAAAAAAAAATTAAAAAATAGCAAATTAAAAAAAAAAAAGTTTAAGCTTAAATTGCTGCCAAAGCAGACTTACTAAAAACAAGTAAAAACCCAATTTTGCAAATTGCTGCTATAGCAGCGATTTTGCTTTTTTCAATATACAAAATTGTTACTTCGTGAACGATTTTATCGTTTTGGTTGAAATAAAAATTTATATACTATTTTAAAATTTTTGTTAATATTTTTCACCTTTTAAGCTTTGTACTTCCACTTTTATTATTAGATAAATTTGATAGTGACTAATATTGTATCAATAAAGTTGTGCTTATAGGGATGACAATTGAGACGGGCAAGGCATAGGTAAATTTAATGGGTTAGGGCGGACAGATTTTTTATTTAATATAGCTAAAAATTAAGATCTTTATAAATTAACAATAAATTTATTTTACATATCTCTCTTTCAACTAGGTAGCGGGGATTTGAATTCCCTTAAGGGTAGGGTACTACGAAAGGAAATTGATTATGAATTATCAATAAGTTGAAAATTGATTCTTTCTGGGTCGATGCCCGAGCGATTAATGGGGACGGACTGTAAATTCGTTGGCAATATGTCTACGCTAGTTCCAATCCAGCTCGGCCCAATAATTCGCCAATCCTCCATGAGATGATATAACTCCCTATGTACTTCAGAAATACCAGAATCATGAACAGAATATTGCTAGTTGTATCTTTTGTTTTTTTTTAAAAAAATATAATAAATTATTATTTTCATATTCGATCGTTTTAACCCCTCCACAATTTGAAAATTAAATGTTCTTCTAATAAAAGAAAAGAAAAGAGAAGAAAATAAAAATAAAATAATTAAATCCTTGCTATATATACACTTAGAACTATTCATCCTTATTTCTTAAACAAAAAATACAAAACGCTTCCTAACATATAATTTTTCATACTCAAATAAGAGATATTTGTGCTTGTACACCTCCACCTTTTATGTGGATTCGCCTTTAAAGTCTGAACCCTATTCATATTATCGCAACTCTTAATTGATTGAATAAGTGAACTTGTCATAAATCTCTATTGATATAAAAAATTTTAGGGAACAAATAAACCATGATATCGTAACAAAAAAACAAGTCTCAAACAACATGGGCAAACATAAGTGCAAATGGGCTACGTATGATGCATTTGTTTGTCTATTGTAAGAAATTAGACCCATAAATGATGTACATATTTTTTTGCTTTTTTCACTCTTCGACCTAAAAATAGTTGAGTCGGCAATTTCATAAAGGATGTTTGAAATTTGACATATATGTACGAAAATTAATGTTCAATCTATATAACTTATCTGTACCGGAATATTTACACCAACCTAATACGTGCATGCCATGTGGTTAAATTTATAATTCATTTTATTTAACTTTAATTAATTAACATGTGTTTTACTTCATTGAATCATATAATAATGGAAATAGAATTAGTTTGGTGTAAACACTTGGTGCGGGTAAGTTTTTCCCACTTTATGTTATTTTTTATATACATTATATAATTTTTCAACAAAGAATATTTAACTGACCATCATTCACTACATGTAACTAGATCACTCATGAATACAAGGCGACCAATAAGTATCTCTTATATACTTACTATTATGACGTAGTCTACGTGGATAAGCAAAATGATCTAGTGGATCCTTATACTCGTATGTGTTTGTATTGTGAATCATTCTACTTAATCATTTGTCAATTGAACTCAATTAAAATAAGTCTTTTAAACCCCTCCAACCATGTGTGCAACTCACCCTTCTTTAATTAAATGACATGTCAAATAATACATCATATATATTAATGCCATGTCATATACCCATCAGATATACCAATGCCATATCACAATTATTTTAAAAATTGTTAATCAAAATTGTTTAATAAAAGATAAGATAATAAAAAATATTAAATTATTTAAAGTAGGTTGCCTTTTAAAGTACAACTCATTACAGATTCTCCCATTCTCAGCCAAACCGTCGCCATTATTGTCGACGAAACCACTGATAATGGCAACGGTTATACACTTTTGTCAACTCAGACATTCTAATGCCATATAAATGTGGTCAATGATCAGAGAGTTTTATTAAATTGTGTTTCATTGAGTTCAAGGGTTTAGTTGACAAATGAATAAGTAGGTTGACTCACAACACAAACGCATACAAATATAAGGATCTATCGAACCAATTTGTCATATAGATTTATGTCTAACATTTTTTATATTCTTGCCTGATAATTTAAGCGTAAATAATAGAATATAAAACTTTATATTGAGTTGTTAAAAGTTAAGAAGAGTCTACAATCTAGTTGTTAATCATGTTAAAGAAAAATAAATGTCCAATCTAACTAAACTTAACTTGAAAGACTAACTCATGAGCTATTTAAACACGTATTTAAAGAGTAATTTTTAGAACTATTTATATGATTTGTAACAAATTATATCTCTTAGTAATTTTAATGATAACCTCATGTAAGTAATAATTAACCGAATAACTTGATAACATAACCATTTTATTAGCACAAAAATGTTATTTTAGTTATATGAACCTTTTTAATTTTCATAATTATTTCTTCTCTTAAAAATAAGTATTACATAGGCGTGAATCAAAATTAACTAAGCTTTGTAATCAATCATATGAACTTATTAATATAAATGATTCGAATATTAAATTTCAAAAATCAAATTATTATAAAAAAATGTCATTTTTCTATTATTTTTATGAATAATGTCCCACATTTGATTTCTTAATAATTTATTTCTTTTTTCTAGCATTATCATCAAGTGGTGGGTCAGAAAATCCAATCACAATATTTTCATATTTCAATGTCACCTTTTAAAGGAAATTGCCCTTTTATTTATTCCACCGACAAAATTTAAGTACGTAATTCTTACGATGCAAAACTAATCCAAAATTAATGTGAACAATAATGGGAGAAAGTAATTACATAGTCGAGCGTTAAATTATTTTTTAATTAAGACTGTGTATTGGTTGGTTCGGTTCGATTTTAAAGTTTATCGCTTGGTTTATTGGTTATCACTTTGTAGATATACTAAATCGTTATAGAATCATTATGATGTTGGCTTATTGATTATTGGTTTATCAGTTTTTTATCGTTATCGGTTTAACCGTTAAAAATTTGACACAAAAGAAAATACATTGAAAATCACGCAGAAACAAGGTGACAAATCAAATAAATATGCACTTGAGTTCACAAGTTACATCTTGCTAAAAAACAATCACTTTTATATTATAGAATAATCAAGTGTTTGAGACAACCAAAAATAAAAGTAGGACATAAAACTCTAAGTCGAGGACTTTATACACAAAATGGTATAAATATAATTATTTAATTTATTATCGGGTTATCGGTTAACTCATTAAGAAAAAACTTTAAACCGTTAAGAACTGATAATCCAATCACAAAAAAGATCAAAACCGGTATCAAAATCACCAAACAAATAATCCAATACTATAAACAAATAACTTTTTTATCGGTTCGCCTTATCGATTTCAGTTCGGTTTTAAACAACCTTATATATATATATATATCAATGATTTATTGAAAATAATTATTTTATCTTCATAAGGTAAGAATAAGAATGTATACACATCACTCTCGATACGTAATTAATTATTATTATAATAATTTACAAGTTTAAAACATTTAATAAGATTTTTGGTGTAAGTAATCAAGATTAGCCAATCTATAATCTTTCTTTGGATTAAAACAAAATAATTTAGCTAATACATAATCTCACGTGATCAATTTATCACTTAATTATAGTACAATTAATGTTTATCCTTTTTTTTAGGTTTAAATATTTGACTTCTTTGTATTTTGGTGGTTGAAATTTGACTTTCATTAATCTTTTTCTTCTTCTTAAAACAGCAATTTAGGCATACCAGAAATATTACATGTTCAATGATAATAATTGTCAATCAGATTGCAAATATAGGCTGCTAATAGCCTAAATAAAGAAAAAATAATTAAAGAGATAATACCAATTTTATTACTTTTAATTAATATATTTTAAAATAAATAATAGTATAGTAGACTAGTAGTTGAAGATGGTGATTGGTGACATTATGACAATGACCTAACAAAATATTCCATTCCCCTTGTGAAATGAATAAAGGCAAATTTTTTTTAATATTTTTGCCAAAAAGTTAAAGTCTTTGTTTTTTTTTATATTATAAAATTATAATTTACCTCATGCACATCTTTTAACAATTTATAATAATTATATATCTTGATTGTAATGCCTTTTCCATTTTCAATTTATTTGTCTCAATTTAACACTGTAATATGATGTATTAAAATTAAATATTGTTAAATATGATCATACAAAATAAAATAGATATACTCTTTTCCACATCTCCTTTTTCATTGTAGATAAATTTATTATATTTAAATCGAAGATTTTAGGGAAACAATCTCTTTACCTTCACGAAATATTAATAAAGCCTACTAACTTCTCAGACTACACATGATATTTCATTATATATATATATATTTATTTATTTATATATTGTTATTATAATTATTTTAATAATAATACTTTTATTAAACACTATTTTCGTACGTACTACCAAAATCACCATAGATTTAGTGCATTATGTTAATGTCAGCATTTGAATTAATTAACTTTATTTTTTTTCTGTTTCATTTTTATGTGTTTTCAGTATGGATTAAAATTTTCTATTATAAAACTATAGTAATATATAGATATTGGCGAATCCAATGCCTGCTTTAATTAGTATTGTTGCCTTCCTAAAATCTTAGCCCCTACACAACAGATCCTCCTTCTCAGGGCCCTCTCATTTCCTCTCACACAACACACTTACAGTAAGTAGTAGTTGCAGTTTTGCTTAGTTTACTCTCAAAAAGTTCCTTTTTTTTTGGCTGGAATGTAGTGAAGATTTGCTTTTGCTTTTGTTGTTGTTGTTGTTGCAGGGATTTCATTGTTGTCCCTGTAAAGATTTGCTCAAGTTTTGAGTTGGGTGAGTTCAAGAATCAGTTAAATTGACAGAAAGATTGAATCTTTAGCTGTAATTTTGTTGTGAAGGGTAATGTTTGCCTAAATTTTGAGTTGGGTGAGTTCAAGAATCAGTTTTTAAAAGAAAGATTGAATCTTTAGCTGTAGTTTTGTTGTTAAGTGTAATGTTTGCTTAAGTTTTGAGTTGGGTGAGCTCAAGTATCAGTTCAGTTAACAGAAAGATTGAATCTTTAACTGTAATTTTGTTGTGAAGTGTGATGTTTGCCTAAGTTTTGAGTTGGGTCAGTTCAAGAGTCAGTTTTTAAAAGAAAGATTGAATCTTTAGCTGTAGTTTTGTTGTTAAGTACTCTAAAGTATAATGTTTGCCTAAGTTTTGAGTTGGGTGAGTTCAAGAATCAGTTCAATTAACAGAAATATTGAATCTTTAACTGTAATTTGGCTAAACAGTGTAATGTTTGTTGTTTTAGTGGCAGAATGGAGACTCAGAAGAGTGATACTGATAACAAGGTAGATGATTATGAAGTGTTAGAACAGTTGGGAAAAAGAACTTTTGGAACTGCATTTCTTGTTCTCCATCGAACTGAGAAGAAGAAGTAAGCTCATATGTACTGGAACCCCCCTTACATTTCTTGTTTTTGTCTGAGAGACCATGTTATGTCTTAGTTTGGATTTTGCTTCATGTAGGAACTGGATGTCTATTTTTACTGTATCTCTAAGGTTTCTGATAAGCATTTCTACAAATTTGTGGAACTTGGCATCTGCTTTTCTGAACTTCAGTTTGTGCCAATAATCTTTCTTCCACTTTAAGTTTGATTGTTTCTGTTAGTTAGTGTTCATCAAAGAACAGAAACTAAGGAACTCAAAATGCAGTGTACTTGAGAATAAAACTGTAAATGATCCTATTTCTTACTGATGCAAAGTTGCTCACAAGTAAAACTGAATCTGCTGTATATTAACATCCAAGTTGTTGACTTGTGTAATTATGATGAAAAGATTATCTTGACTTATCATTCTTTCAATAAAACAACTACTTTGACTTATAGACAAGTGATGTAAATCCAATTTTGTGGAGTTCTGATTTTCCTTTTCCTTGTAGATATGTTCTGAAGAAGATTCCATTAGCAAAACAAACAGAAAAGTCCAAGCGCACTGCACATCAGGAGGTCATTTCAAATGCTTCTCTTAATTTTGTTCTGTGAAAAAATTAGTACTAATGTTAATTGAAGACCAATAATATTCAGGTCATTATTCTCTGAGTTGGCTGATCACAAACTTTAGCCAACAATGTAATGCCCCCATATCTATGACTTTTTCCAGTGGTTCAAATCAGCAATCTAGTCTTAGATTGTCTAGTTGGATAGTTTTCCTCATAGTTTCGATAGCGAGCCACATTGTATGAGGTGTTCCAACATAAAAAATTTTACAAACCTATTTTTATATACTTATCTTATTCTGTTTCTATAATTTTTTTTGCCATTTTCTTAATGGTCTAATGGTACCTGCCAACAATCCAATGATTAGTTATCTGTGTTGTTCACATCTCTCCTAACCAGCCTCATCAATGTCTCTTGAACCATCCTTAATGTGATTCCTTAAGCTAATTTATTTTCTACTCCAGTTGCTTCTAACACAAGGTGAAATTAAGCAAAGATTGCCAGTTTAATTTGCACGACAATCTGCTATTTCAATTGGTGCATTTGTCGAAACGTCCTGGATCATCACTCTTATACCACATCATTCTTTCATTGGTATCAACATTTTCACGATTTAATGTTATTGTATATTATGGAGGGGTGTTTTCCATGCTAAACCTTATTTCTTGAAGAAGTTTTTCTTAATTGTTGAATCATGGGATAAAACTGCTGGACTATGTAAAAGAGTGATAGTCCTGGCCAATACATTGAGGAAATAAGTGGAGCATTCTATGAGGTCTATTGGTGGAATCCTATAATCAGTAAAGTAGGCATTAAACGCCGTTTATCGACATCTTCTCTGTGTGAAGGCCAAGGTGCACCCAATGAGCTTATGTTTTGGAGAGGATTGTCTCAACAGGACAAAATATAGGTCCGAGTGTATTAACTCAAAGTATGAGTTTGAAGGATAAAGCTTTTGGAATGAGCTTCCGAGTTCCAATAAAAAATGACATGAGCTGACAAGTAGGAGTGAACGGAAGTAAAAATTTTAGAACTTTCTTTTGGGAGTCACAAGTGAAGTAGTTTTCTTTGCCCTCAACAAAACCAAAAAGAAGGACCAGTTAGTACTTTGCACCCAAGACTTCCCTTTTATGAATAACTCTAGTTTGTAGAAGCGGATAATGTAGGCTATGGACACACTTGTATGTCGAGTGGAAGAAGTTGTCATCAAATAGTTACTTCAGTCTTGCTTTTGAACCCAAACACATTTAGATACAAAATCTTAACTCATCTTACGATTGATTATATGAAAAGTTTAACTTGGTGGCAAGATATGCTTGAAAAATATCTTCTATCTGATGGTATACAGTTGTTTTTCTGTTGCAGATGAATTTGATAGCTAAACTGAACCATCCATATATGTTTGAGTACAAAGATGCTTGGGTGGACAAGGTATCCTATCATCCAGATTTTTCTCTTACAGGATCTGAAAGTACAATCAGTAGCCTTTATATTAGCAATTATCTAATACATAAGCTGCACCAGAGAAAATCTTGAATTTCTTTTTCTTTCAGGAAAGCTGTATATGCATCGTCGCCGATTATTGCGAAGATGGAAATGTGTGAGTGATTATCCTTGATGTTCTAACATTTCCCTTCACTACTATATTTTCTTTTCCAACCTGCTTATATGTTTTACTTGAGCCGAGGGTCTATCGGAAACAATCTCTCTACCTTCACAAGGTAGGGTAAGGTCTGCGTACACACGTGACACGACCCTCTCCAGACCCCACTTGTGTGGGAGTATATATAGAGTTTTTATAGTGAAAATTATTTTTAAGATGTCCGAAACTTTTGCAGTTAAAGAGTTAAATGTTTGCTCTCCAAAATAGTAATACTACCACTAAAAATAGAGAGGGTAATGAAGTTGAAAATAAGAAATGAATTGGATGATTATAGAATTTCTTTTCGGTGTTATCTAAGGATAGTGGCATATTTTTTTTTCCGGTATTCAGGGCAGAGATCATAAAGAAGTCTAGAGGAGCATTTTTCCCTGAAGAGGTAGTTAGATAAAATCTCAAATCTCAATAAATCCGAAGCTTCTTTGCGCCTTCCTGGAGCTTAAAGATGATGTGTTTTTGTTTTGTGTTGTTTTCTGCATCCGTAGAAACTATGCAAATGGCTGACTCAGCTATTGTTAGCTTTGGAGTATCTGCATTCTAAACGTGTTCAGCATAGAGACCTCAAGGTATAAACATGCTGTAATCAGTGAAATAGAAAAGCCTTCTTAGTATGAAATGTTTTTAACATGAACTATTTCGAATCCAGTTATGTAACATATTCATCACAAAGGATAACGACATCAGGTTAGGTAAGAATGCCCGGACAAAATTGCTCGAGTGGGGCGTCTTTGCTTCTTTATTATCCATAATCAAATTCACTTGATTTTAACAGGTGATTTTGGCTTAGCAAAATTGCTCGATGCAGAAGGCCTTGCTTCCGTGGTACGAGTTTCTCTAGTAGCAAAATGCATCTCTTACTTACTCCTAACCAACTATTATCACATAAACAACTGATCCAAAACTGAGAAAACCTAAGTTGCTTTTATTTTCGGTCATAGGGAAAAAAAGTTGTGGTAGTCATCTTTCATTACATAAAAAAAAACAAAATTGTGGTAGGGATCACGTTACAAAGCTCCTGCCGCCACACCAGCTAGCTTAACGCATTTGAAAAAATGACAAGTTGTACAGCTGATCCTTAATTTTGGAACTTGTATCATGCAATAACTTTGTTGGCTCAAACAGGTACCTGGCACTCCGAACGGCATGTGCCCTGAGCTCCTTTCTGGTATACCCTATGGCTACAAATCTGATATATGGTCACTTGGTAAGAAATTTGACACAAAGCAATGTATTTCCACTCTTCACATAATGTCACCTATACTGGTATAACACGTTTACATGATTTTAGGATGCTGCATGTTTGAGATTGCTGCACATCAACCACCATTTAGAGCTGCTGTAAGTTGAATTTTCAGCTATCTGAACTTTGTAAACAATACCTTGAAAAGTTATCCTTGTTATGATAAAAATGTAGACATTCTTTATTCTGATGTTTTCTATATGATCTGCTGACAAGATACAAATCCAACAGGACAAGACTGCACTTATCAACAAAATAAACCGGGGTTTGTTCTCACCAATTCCGATTATATACTCCTCCACCTTGTAAGTTTCTTTCTTCTCGTCATGCTACAAGTATAACAAATCATTCAATTGACAAAGCGGATTTAATTCTTGCAGGAAACAGATAATCAAAAGCATGCTAAGGAAAAATCCAGAACACAGACCTACAGTGAGTGCAAGCTGTATATGTTCAAATGTGTTATTCCCTCCCTTTCAATTTGTTTTTCTTTCTTTCCTTTATAAGTACATTTAAAAAGGAATGCCTCTTCTTTTTTGTCAACTTTTTATTTCTAACTTTCCACATTACGAGTTTAAGACGACAAGATAAAATGACATTTTAGTACATTCTGCATATCTTTAGTTTAAGACCACAAGATTCAGAAATCTTCTTTCACTTTCTTAAACTCTACAAACAAATTGGTATTGAATTGAGATTCATCTTGATATGATTTTTACCTCAATTTATAGGCTGCCGAGTTGTTAAGGCATCAACATTTGCAACCATACCTCCTCTTATGTCACAACCCTTCATCTGTGTTTCTTCCTGTGAAGTCACCGAGCAGCACGAAAGAGAAAACACGATCATCACCTGGAAAATCTGTCAGTCCAAGAGAGAGCAGAGACAGACAGCTGAAGCTAAAAGAGAAAAGAACTGTCCTATACTTCAATGAAAGTGATAACATCCAGCCAAGAAACTTATCAGATAACCTCTTGTCGTGTCACAACCCTTCATCTGTGTTTCTTCCTGTGAAGTCCCCAAGCAGCACGAAAGAGAAAACACGACCATCACCTGGAAAATCTATCACTCCGAGAGATAGCAGAGACAGACAGCTGAAGTTAAAAGAGAAAAGAACTGTCCTTTACTTTGATGAAAGTGATAATATCCAGCCAAGAAACTTGTCAGATAATTATAACACGTTCCGAGCTAAAATTGAGACTAAGAGAGTTGATCCAACAAGCTACTCAGTTAGGATCTCTCAAGATAGTGAGGATTCTAAAAGTGGGGAGATGAGTGAGGCAGCTGTTTGCAATGGATATGATCAACCGGAGACCATCTCGCAAGCAGAAACTACTATCACTCCAAGCTCTTCAAGTTCAATGGCAAAAATATGGTCCGAGGAACAAGAGCATGCTTCTCCGGAGCATGTTAGACGATTTGAAGAGGATGATAGGAAGAGTAGCAAGACAAAAGAACTTGAGGTGTTGAGCAGTCCACTGGACAATGAGGAAGCAGATATAGTAGAATGTATCTCCGAAAAGTGTAGCAGAATGACATTGTCTAATGGAAGATCCAACGCTAAAACACGATGCTATGATGAAGAAAGCACTTCATCAAATTCACAGCCTGCAAAACCAGATACAGAGGCAGCACCAAGATGCTATGCTGCTGAAACTGAAAATGGTAGTGAGTGTATAGAAGTTACTATTGACTGCATGTCATCTGAAAGTGATGGTTCACTTCTACATAAAGACGAGCTAGAAAAGAAAACAACCATGGTTTGTGACAGCAAACAGTCCAAGAAAGATGCTCTTCGAGCACTGGATGATAAGGTGTCACAGCTCAAGTCACTAGCCGCGTTAGCTAGTAAGGAGGACAAAGACGATTGGGGAAATCCTACTTTACAAAGAGCTGAAGCTTTAGAGTCCCTTTTGGAGGTCTGTGCACGACTACTTAAGCAGGAAAAAATCGATGAGCTTGCTGGTGTGTTGAAACCATTCGGAGATGATGGAATGTCATCTAGAGAGACAGCAATCTGGTTGACTAAAAGTCTCATGACTGCACAAAAATTGTCCAAGGGGTCATGATATTGCACAAAATATGTTTTTTTCCTATCGAATGAGCTCCTATTTTACGTAAATTAGCAAGTGTTGTTGAACTAAATTGTGCTAGAGGCTCGACGTAGTTGAGCTTCCCTTAGTTTTGATTCTATTGTTGTAGGACAGTTGATGAAGTTGTGAAGATTATAATGTACTTTCTTAGTTGATTTCTACTCTATGATATTTTCCACATTTCCTCAGCTTCTTAGACATGATTGTTTTGTTATAGCAGTTGGATTTCTTAGACGATCACTCACCTTCTGTGATCGTCTAAGAAATAATTATTATTTCAGATTAGTCACCTTCTGTGAATCAAGCAGAGTGACTCTCTAAGATAATAATTATCCGTTGAATGACCAGTATGAGAAATCAACTCGTTATTATAACTATATTATTTTTCTTTCACTCTCGCCTGCCTAAAAGAGTGTGTATCCCTATTAGTGTTTGGCAAATGGATGAATGAGATCGAATATGTGTAACCATGGATTAGATAAACAAGAATGAAATATTTAACTCGCTCAAATTTAATACAAATAAAAAAAAATTGTTTAAACTATAGAAATAATGTAGATTTTTTGTAGACAGATGCATTGGAAGAAATTCAAATGTCAATTTCTATTGTTGTGATTTGGACTACAAGAAAATCACTTCTCACCAAGTTCCAATAGAAAGTTGAACTTCTATACATAAAAGAGAGTGCAATTTGTTATACTATGAGACTAATAAATAATATAGAACCGCGGACGAGACTTTTCTTTTTTTAATTACATATCTCAATTTCGAGCTTTAATTATAATTTTGTGGTTCATTAGAAAGCCTTCTTCAAAATAAACTTTACGCGATATGAATTTAAATTAATCATATATTAATCAGACTACTTTTTCATTTATCTTTTTTAGCAAGATGAGAGGCCTATTGCTCACCTGAGATTTCACATTTGTGGTTCCCACATTTCGTGATTAAAAAGACTATACCTTAAATTTCACCCAATCAAAATTTTTTAAAAACAACAAAATGAAATAAAAGTGGTTACTTTTGGCAAAAAATAGTATAAATTGTGGCTATTCTAACAACAATTATTCCACTAATCCAATTCCTTTTCTATTCTAAAAAAACTACAAAGCAAAATCAAACATAGTTTGCAAAAAATGGCACAAAATGGTAAGTTTTTGCTAGCCATAGCCATGATTATAGTTATTTTATTTTTCTCTTCCACTGCGGTGGCTCAAGACACCGCAGTGGCTCCAACGCCGCCTATGGAAACGGGCATGGACACGGGCAACAATGGATTTGGGTTGCCCGTTTCCAAGGCAATGGTTTGTTTTTCGGTTATTTTTTCAATGTTGGTTGTTTTATTTCATTGAAAATAAATAAAAATAAGAAGATTTTGAGGGGAATTAATGGTGAATTATATTACTATGAAGGAGAATTATGGTTGGTGAGGATATATATATATATATGTTGAGAGAGTACTATACTTTTGTGTAATTTTGGTAGTATATTTGCTTGTATTGGTGTTATTAATGTAATGTATAAAAATAAGTTGATTGGCGTTTTTGTTTATGATTTTGTGTTTGTAAATTTGTAAAAAGTAATAAAAAACAGTAGAATTTCAAAGTAAATGTGAATCCGTTTGAATTAACTTATTTTATATTTGTAAAAGTATTTTTAATCGAATTAAATAAAAAGTATTTTTAACTTATTTATTTTAAAGTCAAAATAAATAAAAATAAATTAAAAAGAGTTGTAAGTTGAAATTCCTTATAATTCAATCAGATTATTTGTCCAATGTTTGTATTTTTTTTTTTTGAGTTATATCATCAAGTATTTAGATATATTTTGAAATTAACTAGATCAAATGTTTAAACACAATCGCCAACATGCACATGATAACTTAGTTTTTCCATAAAATTCTGGCGACGTAAAAATTTATTTATTGATTTCGAGGTATGTTTTTATAAATAGCTAATGATAATTCATATAGAATATATAAATACCTGATAATTTAAGTAGCAAACTCGAAAATAAAAAAATGATACTTCAAATACGTTTCTATTAATTATTTCTTTATTTGTTTATATTTCCAAATAATACAAATACCACCAAATAATACAAATACCTAATAGTTTAACTTAATAATTCACGAAAACCTAATATTCCAAATATATTTTTCTTACTATTTTGTTAACTCAAAAGAAGAAAGTATCATATAAATTAGGATGTAGATACTAGTACTCTTCCTAATCTCAGTTTACATGATTTACTTTTCTTTTTAGTCAGTTTCAACATGTCTATTCTATTTTTAATAAAATTATTTACAGTCACATAAACTTCTATCACTTATTTTATTCCATAAATTTCAAAAAAATTTCCTTTTTTTAAACTCTATGCTTTTCGAATTAACTTACATAAAAGATATAATATATAAATATATCATTAAATTTGGTCTCAATTCACTTTTATACCCTCTAGCTGAAAGTCTATACAAATAAACACTCAAACTTATATAAATTAAAAAAATAGACACACAATTCTCACATAACATTCTACAATATATATTATGTCAAATAGGATAAAAACTCATATATTTTATTATTCAACTTTATACGAATCAAATATCTACTTGTATATATTCAAAATTAAAAACGCGAACGGAGCAGTATTGTTTTTTAAATTTGGAAGCAAAAGAAAGACAACTCACATATAGAAAGAGTCCAACGCTAAGCAAGCCATTTCCAGTAATATAATATATGCAACGTGTCCACCTTATTTTTTCCAGCGCCGCAACCCACCACCACCAACTTTCCTCCTTTCACATGCGTCCCCTGCACAAATATTTTTTTTTTTTACTCGATCTTCAATATTTATATTAAAGTCTGATTAACTTTAAATTTATACAGAATAAAAACTCCTTGTATTAGAATAAAACGCTTTTTAATAAAAGTCCAAACTCAAAACATCTTGATTAAGCTAACGCTTAGTCATAGATTTCTAAATATTTGACAAATATCATTTGAGTGAAATTTCACCATCTGTTTGGCCATATGATTTGAAAAATGTATTTGACCTTTTTAGGAAAATATGATTTATACCCATACGTTTTAGAACTAACAAAATTAACTATAGGTTTGTATTACAAGTCACTTGAATGTTCATTACGACAATAACATACAGTGTCAATGGTACTAGAGCAATGTGATAATTTGGAATGAGTCCGACAAACATCATTACATACATCGTGAAGTATACAAAGTGCATGACTTTGTTACCTTGAGCCAATTTTTTCATCATTTTCATCAACAATCAAATCATTATTTAATATTCAGTAAATATTTCATCACTATTTTGGTGTTCCACGTAATAAAATATATAATACAACGCAAGCAACTACTACAGATGATGTTTTTATAAAAGATAAAAGTTTGGGGTAAAAATTTAATTTTTAAAAGATTTCAAATAATAAGATTTTGCCTAAATACTAGAAAAAATTAGTATTCCGAAATTTGAGATATTTACCAAAAATATTCATCAAATAATGACAAATTATATGAATAAACATTATTTGTCAATTTTTTTTTAAATATTATTTAAAAAATCTTATAGCCGAGCTCTATAAATAAAAGAATATTTATCGAATTATCACACCATCACAATCCTCGTTTAGTTTCCGCACCGAAATTTCCGTAATCAACAAACCAATAAAAAAAAAAATCTTTTGCCAGCTGTCCCTTCACGCGGTTCCTCCCTCCCTATAAATTCACCCCCTTCCTCCTTTTCAATTTCCATCAAACCCTAGTTCACTCTGCATCTCAAAGCAAAAAAAGAGCAAAAAAAAAAAAAATTCTCTCAATTTCTTTGTTCAAATCTAGTAGAAATGGCACAAATCAGCATTATCAAGTCGGTTTTGGTTGCATTGATTGTTGTTGTTTTTTCAGCAACAAGTTCCGCTCAGGAGATTGGATTGGCTCCAGCGCCGGCACCTGATGCCGGAGCTGGATTCTCTCTAGCTCAATCTGGTGCTTTGGTGGCTTCTTCTCTGCTTGTTTCCGCTGTTGCTCTCTTCAGGAACTGAGTTTTCATGTATTGTTGATTATTCTGTTCGTTGATTTTTCGAGATTTGATTATACAGAGGATTTAGGAAGTTTGGTTCATGATTATTGGTTTGATATGTATTATTACTACTATTATTTTTGAGGTATATATGAGAAATAAATTTATATATTAATAGTAAAGCTTGATTCTCTTGTTGTCAATTTTCGTCTTCCATTGGTGAGTTTCTGCTGTTAAATTCTACAGTGTTATTGTAATGTCCGGTGTATTTTGCTTTAAAAAAAAGATAACAAATAACACGAGAAATTTGAGCTTGAAGAACAAAAAATGAAACCAGTGCTCATTTCTGTGAAAGCTTTAAGATTTTGGGAAATTTTAGTGTTTCAACTTATGGTACTGTTATTAATTCTACTCTTCTGATCATTGCAACTTCCCTTTGTTTTACATTATTTTCAGTAATTGAAATCTAAAAATATAAATACATGAAATAGCAGAATGATATTACTGTATGTACATAAAAATAAAATACGATTTCGATTTCGTAGAGTTCAATTATATTTTTAAGCATTGATAAAATGATTATTGAATTTTGTGAATTTAGATGGTTAATCGTATCTCATGAACCTTGAGTTAGTTTTGGTTCTGTTTTTGACTAATTCTTTTAGTTAAATTTTCCACTTTATGATAATTTGAAGTGTTATATTCAAGTTTAATTTTGCAACTAAGAGGTACTCCTAATTAGCATTCAAATAGTTATAAAAAATATATAATTTTAATCCTACAACCAAATAGGTTGTATTGAATGGGTCAGTCTTTTTTTTGAACACTTTCTTTTCTTGACCTGGTTCACGCTAAAACTACTTTGTTATCTTTATACTCATCTAAATAAATCATCAATTTTCATATTAGTTGTTGAACTAATCCAGCTTAGAATGAAATATTCTAAACATAATATGATACTAATCACTTTTATTTACTCCCTCCGTTCTATAAAGAATAACTTAGTTTGTGTTAGGATCGAATTCACGCACACACTAAATGAATGAAGAACACAAGAATTTTCAAGAGAAAGAGATGAGAGATCTAGAGAGAGAAAGAGAAAACCCAATATTTCATGGTAACACCCACCCGTAAGTAAACTTTCACGGCG